TCCAATTTATTTTCCAAACTTTTACTCATTTGCAACAATTCGTCTTCGAAAAGGAACGTTTCGGGATCATGGCTATCCTTTTTCAACGCCTCCGCCAGTCGCCACTGAAGTTCAGCTTTGTTACCGCTTGTCGCTTGATCCCGTTCTTCCAATTCTCTCCTTAACTCGGCTACTTTTAATTCGTACATTGTAATGTCTTTTATTCAACCCCACACCTGACACCAGTTGTAATGTTCGTGGGTTTAACGAAATTAACTTTTATGAATCACAACGGCTAAAACTATTAATTTACACAAATTATTGAAGAACTTAAAAAACACTATTTAATTCTATATTCTGTATATTTAGGTCAAACGGGTCGTTCAATAAAAACACGTTTGGTTGAACATCAAAAAACAATAGCACAACACCCAAAAAATACAAATTTAGTAAACCATTTCATACAAAACAATCATACATTAGATATAAATAATTTCAAATTGCTACATACACAAAGTAAAGGAAACTGATTGGATTTATTAGAAATACTAGAAATCACAAGAGCAAACAACAATAACAAAACCCAAGTGCTTTTATTTCATAAATTATTTTGAATAATGTTAAAGCTAAGCCAAGTTACAATTAATATCACTATTAAGTTATTACTAAACTTAGGTTGAATTATTTATTGCGCTATTTATTTCACTGCTATCACTGTCAATTTATTTCTCGATTCACTTCTGCAACGGTCAATTTATTTCTACTCTTTTCAGCGATCGTCTCTCCCTTAAATACTCTTTTGCTTCCTAGTCGTCCGGAAAAGTTTCACACATTTACAAATGCGGCGCACATGAAGAAAGCCGCCTGCGGCTAGTCGGCGAATCGATAAACCGCTCACACACACGTATGCCCGATCACACACAAACACGCTCGTGCTAGCTACAATATTTGCCATCAATTATTGTCCATCCAAAATTTTCTGGCAATTTTTCCGTAGGGCACTGCATGTGTGCACTACACCATTACATTTTGTTGCAACAGTTCTTGTTTTGTTGGTGACAAACTGGAAGGATCATATCCTACGATTTTTCGTTTTAAAATTTCTTCATTTTGATTTTTTGATTTATAACCTTTTTTAGATAACTCATACCGTCCTTTGTTGATATCATTTTTCGTTTTTAATGAATATACTCTGCATACATTCTCTTCAATAATTTGAACTACCTTATTTGATGTTCTTAATCCTGTATTTTCAATTCGTAGGAGTTGAATAAAAGCCTCTGGAAAATTTTCATTTTTCTTTAAAATACTGAAAGGTTTCTTTTTTCCTTTACGAAAGAAAGCAGGATTGTAATCATTCCTTGTAAAAATATGGTATATGACGAGTGAACAAGATAATTGATCTCATTTATGTTTAAGTACATTTTTTTTACTCGTTCTTAAATCAATAATTATTTGAATGTGATCTTCTAAATGTTTAAAATTTTCCAACGTTATTATTGGTATATCAGAATCTGTGCAATGAATCTACACACGGTAGTTAGTATTAAATTGACAAACGTGGTATACAATTTTTGTATCAGCTTCTTCATGATAACAAGAGAGGTTATAGACAATGACTCTTTTTATTTTATTTTCACTAGACACCTCATAAGTGTAACATTGATCATAATTAAGTTTAACAGTCTTTCCTGTGATCAATGTAATAAATTCATTCGTTGTCCCTTCAATTAAAAATTCTACAAATTTTTCTTTAAAGTTGTTGCTTCTCAATAATTTGCAGAAATCTGTAAGACGATTAATGTCTTTACGTATTACGTCATACTGTGTGTCCTCTTAACCTCTCAGATCATGTTCAAAATCTTTAATACTGGGTTTTCTGTACTTGTCAAATATAATATGTACTTCTTTTCTATTATTCTACTATTCCAACAGAACAAGAACTGTTGCAACAAATTAAAAGAACTGCATTCATCTGCAATATATGGTGTAATGCACACATGCGGTGCCCTACTGAAAAATTGCCAGAAAATTTTGGATTGGTTTGATGGTCCCCAAATTCTATCTTTTAAAGAATTATCTTCTGACATACAAGGTACCCTGTTGTTATTTATTGATTGATTATTCTTTATTACATAATTTACTTAATTTTTTCATGTTATTACAGAGTCAAATATCACGAGTGAAGAAAGTGAAATAGATGAAGATGATAGCGATGTTAGTAGTGAAGATTATGAAGATTTATCAGATGAATCTGATGAAGTTTAATTTTATTTTTTTTTAAATATAAATACACAAATTTTCTTATCTAGCTTACTTACTAAAAAATAAAGTTATTTAAATTTGAAAAAAAGATTTTTCCACAGTATCTTATGTTACAAATAGGCAAACGAAAAAATTATTATTTTTGTCGGACTAGTGATACATACCTGTTTNAACGCAGTAATAGGTGAAGGTAAAGTGGGTGCAATAGCAGGTTCTTTTGGATTAGGCAATAGAAATGATAGCGGAGACAGGCTGATAGAATTTTGCGATAAACATAACTTAACCGTCGCGAATACTTTATTCAACCATCACGTTAGGAGGCGCTATACGAGGAAGGTGCCAGGTGATTTAAGAATATATCAGATAGATTACATACTTGTTAGGCAAAGATTTAAAAATCAAGTGAAGGACTGTAGGAGTTATCCAGGAGCAGACATAGATAGCGATCATAACTTAGTAGTTATGAAGACCAACCTTAAATTCAAAATTCTGAAAAAGAGGGATGGAAGGACAGACGAAATACTAAAGGCGGCTGGAGAAACAAATGACGGGGACATAGAGACAGAATGGAACTGCATTAAAACGTGCCTAAAGTCAGCAGCTACAGTTATACTAGGTCATAAACAAAACGATAGTAGGAAACCCTGGATAACAAATGAGATTGTAGGATTACAAAACAAAAAACAGGACAGACGAAGAAGGGCAAAAAAGATATAAAGCTTTAAAGTGGGAAATAATTAGGAAGTGTAGGGCAGCTAAGGAACAGTGGATTGATAGGATGTGTAATGAAGTAGAAGAAAAGTTTGAAGCAGGTAAAACCGATGAGGCATGTAATATAATTAAGAGGAATTTTAGAGATGTAGGATACAGTAGTAATAATATAAAAAACGAGGTAGGGGACATTTTGATAGGAAATGAGGAAAAGGCAGATAGATGGAAAGAATATTTAGAGAACCTATACGCAGGCCCTGAGCTAGGAGATATATTAGAGACGAAAGATAGTGTGGAAATAGATGAGCTTGGTTATCCCATAATGAGAGAAGAGTTCAAGTAGCATTAAAAAATTTAAAGAATAATAAGGCACCAGGTGTAGATGGGATACAGGGGGAAATTCTAAAACATGCAGGACAAGAGGTTAGATATCGTATGTTTAAGCTAGTTAGTCACATTTACGAAACGGGGAAAGTCCCAGAGGATTATAAACGGAACGTAAGTAGTATATATGTAGCGGTTCTGGATCAGAGTGGGGATGACTTTTTTTGGTATTATTATCTCCTTTCTACGCATGCGCGGGGCGTGGCTTGTAATTTTTTTTTTCTGATTTTTTTTTTTGAGGGGGCGTGGCTTGTGATATTTTTTTCGACCAATGAGCGTTCGTTATTTTGGATAGGAGTGGGGGTATGACCATATATGGAATTTTTTTTTTTCGAGGGGCGTGGCTTGTGAAATTTTTTTTTTTCGACCAATGAGCGTTCGTTATTTTGGGATAGGAGTGGGGGTATGACCGTNTGAATAACACAGTGTGTTAGGTACTTTTACCCACTCCTCCATCGTGATTAGCATCAGCTTGTATTTTTTATGTGGAAAGAGGTAGAAAATACTACAAATGGCGCAGTAAACGCCATCTGTAGCACGATGCTACATTTTAGGATTACGTATGCTCCACAGTTAAAAAAAAAACGCACTGCTAAAACAGCAGGTGAAGGTTGGTCTGTGTTCTGTCGGAGCTGCCTGCGACGCCCTAATGAGGTCTAAAAAGATCGAAATCGCGATCCGCGTCTGGCAGTTTCGATAGAATACAGACCACTTCGAATTATTTTATTTGAAAGAGGTAGGTTTCCATTTTTGCATGAGGTGGTGTTACGTACTGGTATCAAATGTTTCAGATAAAACACCACTACCCCTTGTTTTTCACTGTGTAGTATGTGATAAATTTCAAATTAAATAGCTTGACTAAGGCAATAATATTCATCATAATAACACATGTTTTTAATGTAATTCTAAGAGCAGTTTTTATGCAGGCCATCTGCTTTAAATCCGTGTTCTACTAATATTAGTGATTAATATATTTTATTAAACGACCGATGTTTTTACGTTTTTGTTTCAGATCATGTCTGCCAAAAAGGTTCTTAAGCTTCTGATTTTTACTATAACATCATTAGTAAAGACTTTGCAGACAACCTACAGCGAAGATGCAGCGCGCGACGGACTGAAGAACTGTACCAAGACTGTACGAAGAATTAAAATGCTATTGAAGAAGGCAACCACGGTAGGCGAGAAGCAACAACTTTTATCGCAGCTGGCTAACGTTAAAAGTTATAGAAATCAAATAAAAGTTTCTGTAAGACATGGTTCAGGGATGACGGGCGAGGTTTTAACCTCTTCTAGACCATCAAAAAGAGTAAACAAACAAACAAACAAACAAACAAATGTAAGAGCGAGAGAAGATATGAGAGATAAATAGATACGCTGGTAGACAAATGTTTGCACTTATAATAAGTAAATAGGTAGATAAACTATATCTCTCTTACATAAGTGATTTAGTATACATCAAACTTATTAATGTGGTCAAATAACAGGTGTCAGTAGGGTCAGGTCCAGGTCCATGGCTGGGTCTAGGCTATAAATAAAGAAAACACAAGTGTGAGCGCTCGTGCCCCCCTCTCAACAAACGTGTGTGTGAGTTGATAATTCGTGTTCTATTGGCATGATTGTCAATGTATTACTGAATACATCAGTACAACGTTCGAGTGGAGGCTCGCACTTTCCCGAAGCCAAATGTTTTGGAGGTTCCGAGTCCTGGTGCTGTTCCATTCCGCCGCGCTTGTGTTTGACAACGGGGTGGGCCGTTTGGGGGCGCAGGCTTCAGTCTTCCAGGCTCTTCCGGTCCGCAACCGACGCGGTGCTGTTCCATGTCCGCTATCCTGTTGGTCGCCTTCTCGGTATGGTCCGTGGCTGGGTGATGTGGATGCGCAGGCTTCAGTCTTCCGCGTCGTTTTGACTCCAGAGTGGCTCCACGGGGACGCGTTCGCGACCTCGACCGCGAACAATCGAAAAACGGGAAACCGAACGCTAACCGAACGCGAAACCGAAGCAAACGGGCGCGAACACGAGTACAGAGCACGCACAACACAAGGGCATTTTAATTGTCAACTTTTAATTTTTCGACACGACCCGAAAATGTCCGAAATGCGTCCCACCAGTCCCTTTCGTTCCACAGCTGTGTGACCTCCCGATAGTTGGTCGGCCACCTTAAGCCGTGAATCGCGAGGGCCCGGTCGGCGGCGCCGCGATGTTGTTCAACTAAGTCGCACTCGAACAGGACGTGTTCCGCCGTATCGGTGCCACCGCATTCGCAAATGTCGTCCTCGATTTTGCCGATACGCTTCAGATATGATTTAAAATTCCCGTGTCCTGTCATCAGTTGAACCATGTAGAAGTCGAAATTCCCGGTGATCTTCCTGTCGTAACAGGGTTCCGGTAAGAAGCTCGCCGTAGTCCTTCCGGTTGTAGCAGTCCTCCATCGTTCCTTCCAAGCCTCCAGAGATAAAGTACGCAATCGTCGTTTAACGACTGCTCTGGGCACCAGGTCGTAGATGGGTGCTGTCGCCTGGTCAGTGGCGGCGGCCTTCGCAAATTCATCCGCAGCGTCGTTTTTCGCATTACCAGAATGCGACGGTGTCCAGTGGAAACGTAGGGAAATTTCGGCGGCCAAGCTGACCGCGAGTTCCCACGTCTCCAGTTGTAAAGCGGTCGGTTGTTTCATATTGCGAAGAGCCGTCAAAACAGACAGGCTGTCCGTCACGATGGAGCACTCCTTGATTATGTCCGTTTGCCCCTGTAGATGTGTTACTGCTTGTCGTAGTGCTACCATTTCGCACTGAAAGATAGTACTATTTTCCGCGAGGGTGAAATTTTCCCGATGAATTTCCGTATCGCCGTGGTAGAGTATGAAAGATCCTCCAGCTCGTCCGTCGTCCAATCTCGATCCATCCGTATAGCAGACAGTCTCGTATGCATTTTGGACTCCTTCCGTAAACCGGAAATTGTCCATGTCCGCCGGATGCGTAGTGTCCGCTAGGTTGACACGTCGTTCGAGCTGTCGGTCCTGGAGTTGTACATCAATAATGTCGTTGTCGCGTGGTAGATCAGCAAAAAGTCTGTACTTTTTAGCTGTTTCCTGCAACAACAAATCAAACGGCAGTACTCTACTCACGACGAAAGCCGCTTCCGTAGAAACGGTGCGATACGCCGCCGCTGCTTTTACAACTAAAGTTCTTTGCGCGCTTAAAAGAGACCTGCATTCTTTCACTTTACACATCTGCCCAAATCGGTGCTCCGTATAGCATGGCCGATTGTACCGCGCCCTCGGTGACTTCATGGGGGGCGGTTGCTTTTTGAAGTTCTTGACCAAAACGAGGTCTCCCACTTGAAAACCTACTTGTGGTTGTTGTGGCTCGGCGACATACCTCCTTTGGTACACTTGCTGGCGACGGAGTGCTTGGGACGGCCTTGGCTTCTGACGAATCTGTTGTTTGCCGTGGAGAGAGGGTAAAGTCCCATTATGTCGACCGCCACGGTTTCCCAGGGACGTCGGAGTGTTCTTGGGTGTAGAGTCGCGGCCTTCTGACGGATGCCCGACGTTGTGCAGGCGCAGTTTAGGCATCCCTTTAGATACTGACGGACGTCCTTTTGCAGCGTCGGCCAGTGGTATTGCAGATGGATGGTCCGGAACGTCTAGTCGCTTCCCAGGTGGCCAGCGGCGGGATGGTCGTGGAAGACGTGCTGCTGTAGGGCTTCTGATACAACGAAGAGATCCCTGTTGTCCTTCCGACGGAAGAGGAAGCCATTCCTAACTATATAGTAATCCCGGAAACCTCTTTCGCCGGGGAATTGTAGGGCTACGGTCTGTAACCGATGCCAACACAGGATTATCCTTTGTATCCCGGGATCTACGAGCCGTCCTTCTTCGATGCGCACGGTGAGTGGTGGTGATGGGTCGTCGTGTTTGTTTACTTGGTTAATGGCCGCCGGAAAACAATCTGGTGGCAGCATCCGATCACATGCAGTGTCCTTTATTTCCTGTTCTTCAGGTTTACGGGAGCGTATGTCCGGCAGTTGGTTAAGCCAACCCGGACAGTGTTGTACCGTGAAACTGAATTCCTGCAGCCATAAGGACCATCGCGTCGGGTACTGGCGAATGAGACCACGCGTCGTCGGCCATCCTGGTCCTCTCGGTATAAAACGGCAGCGAGCCCGATATAGCTGGCGTCGGTCTGGATCACGTACGTCATATCCGGATTGGGTCGGTATAGTCGGAGGGGTCGAGAGGGCGCGTCCTTCAAGTTGAGGAAAGCCTGGTTGGCCTTTTGGACCCATCTGCACTTTTCCTTGGCCGAGAGCAATTTGGTCAGCGGAGCGGTGATTTCGGCTAAGCGGGGAATGTATTCTCGCAAACAGTTGCTCACGTCCAGTACATAGCGCAGCTGTTTACGAGTGTTTGGTGGCGGCAAACTCTGAATTTGGCGGAGGTAATGCTTCGTCAGGAGATGTCCGTCCGTTGTGACGCGATGTCCCAAGTACTCGATCTCTGGTCGGGCTGGTTGGCATTTTTCAGGACCGACGCGAAGCCTATGGGTACGGAGCCTCTCCAAGACTAGCCGCAAGTGTCGGATGTGCTCCTGGTGTGAGTCGGAGTATATCACGATGTCGGCCAAGTACATCAGGGTGAAGTCGTCCAGGTGTCCGGTGAGAACTTCTTGGGCTATCAGCTTCTGCAACGTTGATGGTGCGTTCCTCAGCCCGAACGGCATGACTGGTAGCTCGCACCGTCGGTTGTGGAAAATGTGAGGGGCCGGCTCTCGTCCGCCAGTGGAACCTGCCAATTATAGGACTTTAGGTCAAGTGTGCTGAAGACCCGTGCTTGTCTCAAGTGTTTGAGGGTTTGCTGGATGTTCGGGAGCGGGGTGGCTTCACTGATGGTCTGGGAGTTCAGCCGCCTGAAGTCGATGCAGAACCGGGGTGTTCCGTCCTTCTTTTGGACTTATCTGCAATGGGGCTGGAATATTCGGAGTTACTGGGCTCGATGGTGCCTTTGGTCAGCATCCCCTCTATCTGCTCCTGGATCGCCTGCTGTTTTTGGGCAGACTGCCTGTATGGAGCGATACGGGAAGGGCGGTGTTCCTTTAAGCGAATGTGGTGATTGGTGGTCGGCGTTGCTGTCGGCGCGGAGGTATCGAAGACGTCCCGAAACTCGTGGAGCAGGTCCTTATAGTCGGCCTGGTTTCCCGTCGGTATGGCGTCCATATTAATCCTTATGTTGACGGTCTTCGTTACCGGTGGCGGAACCCTCCAATATATGGTCTTCCGTTGTTCACGTCCAAAGTGTAGACAACGGCGTTGGAAGTCCAGTGTAACCCGGTTAGTCTGGAGCCAGGGAAGACCTACGATAGCGGCCTCGTGTAGATCCGGACTTACGAAAAACATTTCGACCGCCTGTTCTTGTGCAATCGTGACCTCTAGGTGCGATGGACCGTACACGTGGGCTGCCTCATTGGTGTTAGTGGCGAGGGTGATGGGTTTGGCTTGGTCATGTTCGGGACGTTGGGGTTAGAGTTAATGTGGTGGCGGTTGATTTCTGAACGGGCCGGGAAATGGCCCCGGCCCCAACCTCGTTTCCCGAAGGTCCTGAAGACACTCGATTCACTGCTGCTGCTGACCGTATCCCTGGGTTCGATGGCCGTTTGGAGGCTGCCGCTGTTGGGACATCCCTTTCCAATCGCCGCGACTCTTGTACCAATGGCCGTTCCGGCAGTCCCGGTTGTAATGTCTCCCGGGACAGAAATGGCAAGGTGGCAATGATTTGGGCGTCGTCGGTGGTGGATTGTTGCTGGGACTCCGGTTGCTAGCGTTTGTATGGGTGGCCGACCCGAGCCTGTTTTCTAACTGCACCGCTATGTCTAGGAAGGCGGCAAAGGTTGCGGGTGCGACCGTTTCGATGTAGGCGGCAAGTCCTTTAGGAACTAAGTCCATACAGTGGGTCACGAGCTCGCTGTCAGTCAGGACGAAGTTCAAACGGGCTGCCAGCTATTCCTTCCGCTTCAGGAAACAATAGACGGGTTCCTTTGATTGTCGCTCTGTGAAAAACTTGGCCATTGCGGTGTTTCGACGCGACGGGCTGTCGAACTCGCCGGTGATCAGCGCTCGGAACTCGGTAAATGGTAGCTGCAAACCCTGGTATGGACGGTATCAATCCCGGGCTTCCCCGTCTAGTTGGCCGACGGCGATGGTGATGGAGATCTTGTGGGCTGTGCTGGTGAAAATGTTCCTCGAGGCGCGTTAAAAACACTTCTGGATCCGCTTCTGGTGTTCCGCCCAACCGTGGTAGTGGACTAGGACGTGGGGTTCATGGCCGTGTTAAACGATCCAGCAATTCCTGAACGATTTCTTGGGTGGTTGTCTTTGGGCGCTACTGACAATTTTCGAAACCCTCTGTCAGTAGGGTTGGTGTTTGCGTAATGCTTGTGGAGGTTTCCGCCTTGGTCGCTGGTACCTTCGGCGTTGATGGGCTGGGCCACTCATCCCGAACTTGAAAGGTGGCAGGATTAAAGGTGACCTGCGTTGGCGGCACTGGCTGGGTTGCTGGCGGTGGTGGCGTTCGGAGCGGGATTTGAAACGGCGATGGTCTTGACGTGTCGACGGTGTCCCTGAAGAAGGGCTGCGTTGTGCTGTCCTGTTAGGCGTGGGTTTCTTCGCTCTGAAGACGTTACATGGCCCCACGTTGGGCGCCAAACTGTTACTGGGCACACGTAGCTGTTTGCGCGTGGTAACTGCTGGACTATCTTTGGAGAGAATAAAGGACCTCGCCGCACCTTCTTTTGTCGGGAACGTCCCTTAAATTAGATATTATATACCTTAAAACGAAGAAAGTTTATTTATCACCTTGTGGTTTAATGTATATATTTTCATTAGCTTTGCAATTATAAAGAAATTATACGCACATGGAGAAAGAAAGAGACAACTAGATATATATTGTAGCGACCACGAGCGTGATTGTGTGCGATCGGGCATACGTGTGTGTGAGCGGCTAATCGATTCGCCGACTAGCCGCGGGCACTTTTCTTCATGTGCGCCACATCTGTAAACGTGTGTGTCATACCTGCGTTCCAGGAAAGCAATTAAAGCGTTCAAAGAAAACGAGACTTCTCTGGAAGGCTGAAGAACGTTCC